TTACAGGAGTAAAGTGGTTTAGCACGCTGGATCTAAAAAAGTGGCTACTGGCAAGTTGAAATTGACCCTAAGGACAAGGAGACAACTGTGTTTTCGACGGGAAAAGGTCTGTGGCAATTTAAAGTAATGCCGTTTGGGTTGTGCAATGCTCCAGCAACGTTTGAAAGGCTGATGGAACTTGTACTTACCGGGCTAATTGGCGATGCCTATCTAGTCTACTTGGATGACATCATCATCATAGGCCGTACGTTTGAGGAACACCTTCAAAACCTGGAACGCGTGCTCATGAAGATTCTATTCTATCTATTGGAATAGAGAAGAATAGATATATATATATATATATCTATTCTATTTTTTTTTTTTTTATAGAATAGGCTGACAAACGAGCACACAGTCCACCTGATGGTAAGTGGTTGCTGCGGCCCATAGACATCTACATCTATCTTCCATTACAAATCAAAATGCAGATGCGTTGTCACCCGTGAGGACTGAGATGGAATGCCTCATTTTCAGTAAAAAGGGTCGCCGGTTCTCTACACTCACCATACGAAATGCAGCAGCGTTAAGCTACTATTTCACGCTGGTATTCTGTGAGAGCGTGGTCCTTCCCCGGTCGAGCCGACCCATTCGTGCTACTACTATACTACTAATATAACTGCAGCATGGCTCTACCACGTAGGATTCTATATATCTATTCTTCTCTATTCCAACGGCAAGTTAACTTTTTGGGGTTTGTAGTATCGGAAGAAGGTATCCGCATAGATCCAGAGAAAATCGCCGCTGTCAAGGATTGGCCGGTTCCAAAAGACAAGACGCAGGTTAGAGCATTTTTGGGTTTGTGCTCCTATTACCGGCGATTTGTGAAGAACTTTGCAGATATAGCCAAACCTCTGCACAAGCTAACCGAGGAGAAGCGACATTTCTGCTGGGATGAAAGTTGCAATATCGCATTCCAGGAGCTCAAGGACAGTCTGTGCAAAACACCTATTTTGGGATACCCTGATGCCAGCAAAGAATTTATAGTTGACACAGACGCAAGTGATATAGGACTTGGCGGTGTGTTGTCTCAACGGAATGGTGACCAAGAGGTCGTGATAGCGTACTTCAGCAAGTCGTTGTCAAAACCGGAAAGGAACTACTGTGTCACAAGACGCGAATTGCTAGCTGTGGTAAAGTCGTTGCAGCATTTTAGCAAATATCTTCTGGGGCGAAAATTTCACTTACGAACTGACCATGCTGCACTAAAATGGCTATTGCAGTTTAAAAATCCAGAAGGACAAGTTGCGAGGTGGATTGAACTACTGCAGGAATACAACTTCGAGATCGAACATCGCAACGGGAAATCTCATGGCAACGCAGATGCATTGTCAAGAAGACCTTGTCCTGAAGGTTGCAAACATTGTACTAGGCAAGAGAGTAAGGAAGTGGTATCCGTGAGGATGCTCAGGGCAGACCACCTCAGCAACGAGTGGAAGGACAACCTACGACATGCACAGCAGGAAGATCCGGACATCAAGCCGATCCTGGAATGGATGAAGGCCAGTGCTCCCAAGCCCAAGTGGAGCGACGTCTCAGCGATGAGTTCGACCACTAAAAGCTATTGGGCCCAGTGGGACAGCTTGCTGCTTCAGGATGGAGTTCTGTGCCGTAAATGGGAAAATGTTCGGGGAGACAGCTGTCATTTACAAATGGTTGTCCCTAAAGCTAAAGTACCGGATGTTCTACAGCTGTACCATAATGATTATTCAGGAGGCCATCTGGGAGTTAAACGAACTCTACTGAAGATCCGAGAACGGTTTTACTGGGTCCACTGTCGAAACGATGTCGAGGACTGGTGTCGCAAATGTACAAGTTGTGCGGCTGTAAAGGGACCTCAGACTCGTAGTAGAGGTGCATTGAAGTTGTACAATGTTGGTGCACCATGGGAGAGAATAGCCATTGACGTGGCGGGGCCGTTTCCGGAGAGTGAAAGCAGTAACAGGTATTTCATGGTTGTGATGGATTACTTCACTAAGTGGCCAGAAGTCTTCGCCATTCCAAATCAAGAAGCTTCAACAGTTGCTGATAAGCTAGTTCATGAAGTCTTCTGTCGTTTTGGTGTACCTTTAGAGATTCACAGCGATCAAGGAAGGAATTTTGAGTCTCAAATATTCCAGGAAACTTGCCGAGTTATGGGTACTCATAAAACAAGAACGACTTCTTATCACCCGCAATCTGATGGAATGGTAGAACGATTTAATCAGACATTGGAGAGGTACCTAGCAAAAGTTGTAGACAATCTGCAACGAGATTGGGACAAGCACATACAACCGTTTTTGTTGTCATATCGAAGCGCTGTTCACGAAAGTACAGCAGTGACACCAGCTTTCGCAAACTTTGGAAGAGAATTACGGCTGCCTGCAGACCTGATCACCGGGATACCACCTGATGCTCCACGCAGTATAACCGATTATGCAAATGACTTGCGGAACAAAATGAATGACGTTTATGAGCACGTCAGACAATCGGGCCAGCAAATGTCTGAAAAGATGAAAACCCGGTATGACCGCAAAATGAACAACAAAGGGTTCGACGAAGGTTCACTTGTGTGGTTGCACAATCCAGTCCGCAGCAAAGGGAAATCTCCTAAGCTTCAGGCTAAATGGGACGGCCCGTACCGGATTGTGACCAGGATCAATGATGTAACCTACCGGATACAGAAATGCGCAAGAGGAACTCCTAAGATCGTCCATGTGGATCGCCTAGCGCGTTATTATGGGACCGATAATGCTCGGGACGAGCATGTCTTAGGAGGGGGCAGTGTTACGCGCTCCAATGCCTCAAATCGGCGCACTAGCGCCATCTAGTCTCGAACCGAAGAACTAAACTTCTTGAAGTTTAAAACTCGAATTCTCGGTACCTTGCGCGTGTTTACTTGAACATTCTGGATATTTTGCTAATTTATATAAGTAGGCGCTGCAAGATGCGATCGTAGTAGTATTGAATTGGCGATACGAGCGAAGCTTCGGAGCGAAATTAAGTGAATTAGTGTGTTTAATTATTAGTGTTTTAAGATTTAATTTGTTTAAAGTAAATTAAAGCGTTAATTTAGGTAATTTTATCGGCAATTTTTATTGTCACGAACCTCAAGCTCGTAACAGTACATTTTATTAATTTAATTTTTCTTTACTTTTTTATTTGCATTCCTGATTTTTTCAGTTACACCCACTTGATGCAGTTTGTTGTAACTGCCTAAGAATATTGCGAGAAAGTATTGCATTTGCTCATTCCATTAGACGGTTTGATGGACTTTTTTCAGGTGGATCGTTTAGAACGAGTCTGCAATCCTTACTGGCTGTGGGCTTCCAGAGCTGTATGGAGACAGAGAGAACAAAATGGTAACAGGGATATGGAGTTCCATGAATACCGAATATCCTTGAATACCGAAGACATCGGTAACATCCCACAATCACCCACTATACCTGCACCTGTAGCCTGTAATTTCCAAAGCGGTATCAACAATTACTATGGCTAATTATGAGCGTGCTGCTTCTACTTCCCGTCACTGTAGTTTTAAGTTATGTAATCGTTCATCTAGATTCTTAATACCTAAACTACTTAAAAAGAGATTGCTGATTGATCACTTTATATGTCACTATGCGCTCGTATTAGTGAATACCATTTAAATGAATCTAACAATGATTGGAATAATTTATACACGAGTAGTAACTGTTTATATTTCACTGCATCTCAGATAGACAATCTATGTTCACTATTAAAAGTAGTGTTACTCAAAATTACAATAATTTAAATATCATTGAACATAATTCAACGTTATGAAAATATTGGTAAGGATTTACCAATTTGAACAGTTACTAGTTGAAATTCCATCTATGAGTGAAAGGGTTAAATCGCCGAAAAGAATTCTAGCTATGTTCTTAGTGAAACTTCGTACAGGTGAAGCAATGAACACATAGCTTCTCTATTTAATGTAGCTTCATCGACTGTGTTGAATCACTTAAGTATTGTAAATCAGTGCTTCGAAGAGCAATTCATACAACTGCATTTAGGGAAATAGCTTATGCATTCAACAAGTTGCTCAATATAACTTGACAGTACCAAATGGCTTATTTGGTAATCCAGACACAGATCCTGAATTAATACCAGCCATACAAATACAATATGATGGTACGTATGTTTATGTGCAAAAAAGTAGTAATTACTTGTAGCAGAAACAAACATATAGTTTACATAAGTATCATAACCTAGTTAAAACTTTTTTACTTGTGTGCTGTAATGGTTCAACCCTTGATGTTTTTAAGGATCATATTCTGCAACAGAATCAGATGCTTCTATAATTCTTAGACTATTCAACGATAATAATCTACTGCGAATCTATTTAGGGGAAAACAATGTAGATATTTATTCTTGACAGAGATTTTTAATCGTGTCTAAAATACGACATTTTTATTCAACCAGGCCTTTAATAATTATGACTTCAATTACTAAAAATATTTTGTTTATATAATTTATTTAATAAAGCCTTATTTAAACCTGCTAACACTCGTTAAAAACATATATTATTATTATAAAAATAAATATAAACGCATATAATTAACATTTAAAATACACAAAAAAGCGGGAAAAATATAAAAGCAGAAGTATACATATTAAATAAAAATAATCAAACACAACTCATCCTAATGTTGCAAACTCGCCAACTGACATGCAATATAAACTAAATATATTCATATTGTCAATGCCCGAGGGGTAATCAATTAATCAACGAGAAACAAGCTTTTCGGACTACTTACCTACTATCGATTATAAAAAATTGTGAAACAAATGACAAATGGCTAGCCTAAAACCACTATATCAAACCCTTATATCCCACTAGTCACCTTTTATGACATATACTGGATAAGTAACATCGTTGGCACATTATTTTTGGAACATTTGAAATGGAAATTTGGAAATTGTTTGATTTTACGGTAATAAAATAAGTTGTTAATAACACTTACACCTTCCTTAAAACATGTGAGCCCAGGATGAACTTTCCTTATCTCCTTCTGCCGCATGTCGATCAATTTCTTCACAATCTGCAATTCGAAGCAACTGATCATAGTCATAAAAGTATTACAAAGCATACATAACATACCACATAACGATTAGCTGTGAAAAAGCCATACAGGTACATTGTCCGCATGCACCGAATAAAAATAAAATTCTTATATAATATTGAAAATAAAGTTTTTATCTTTTGTATAAGTACGTACTTATTAGGTATATATTGAAGGTTTGTAGCCCATGGTTAAACGGCCGAAAGGTCAATGTCCGTTTTTCTCAATCGATTTGACACGGACTATAGTAATGTTATCGCCATCTCACTTTCCTAGCTTGGCGGTTATAACAAATCCTAGTATATAATGGAATATCCATGTCCAACAGTGGACTGGACTTTTGACGATATTGCATACCGTTACGGGTGTGCATAAAGGTGAAAAAGCTTTTAATTGTATTTGAACATGTATGAGAATAAAGCGGAAGTATATGTAAACTAAAACTTTAGGTCAGCCATATAACTCAAACAACCGACAATCGATAGGGGAAAAACTTCTAGAGTGGCAACCTCGACTTAACGAAGTGTAGGCCGGCCTTCCATTAGGTTGAGTGACAACCTGGTAAGAGATGAAGGAAGTCCACGGATGCAGGCGCGCCTTTGGACCGTCTTTTGTGGCGTTACTTGTAGTAGGTTTGTTCAGCAATAGACTTGCGATGGGCTGCAATGATGGTGCCGATGAGAGTGAAAGAGCTTATAGCTCATGTGATTGTAAAATTTTCCGTGTTACTGGACTTAATTACTAACTAACTTTGGTTGCTCACATGTCATGTAATGGCTAAAGTAAAGGATAGAGTGTAATTGTAAAGCAAATGAAATACCTCCTTCTGTCTCCGTATAACAGACGTGAACTGCGTGTAAACAATGCGCGGGTTTAATTCGCAGTGCATTAACGTGGCGCCCTCGTAGTCTTTTATGTAGCCCTGGTACATGGCCCGAGGCAATTTTATATCCTTACTGAAGCCTTGCTTCTTGAAGTAACCTGGAATAGATGCAAATCGACGATAATACCCATCCACGATTGCCCATGTATAGTCTGTTGGCTTAGATACAGTCGCCTTTGTGTTGCGCCGCCTCGGCACGTGCGGGTTGTTATCAAAGGCGCCACCGCGACATCAACGGACGCCGCGTACGGTATACACCCGCGGGAAAATTTGGAATTTAAAAACGAAAGCGACATAGTGAAAGGTTTTTTGCTACCTAACTTGTGTTTGTTATTTATATTCGTATTTTATTATTATAACCATAAGAATAATATAGTGTTCTATTCTAATAAAAAATAATAAAATAAAAGCAAAATAATAAGTGCGCTTCTGGGTGTACAGACACTATTTTAATGAATGGACTATACAGCCTCCGGTTGAACATAAGTCTCAGAATTCTCAAAATATAGTAAAACCTTTCATTTATAGGATTATTATAATGTAGTAGATAAGTGTCAACCAAACTCCTAAGCAGGTTTGTAGGTTTTAAATATTCTCTCATCAATTTATAATTCTCACTCAGGCTAACCATTTTGGAAGTGGTAAATCAGAACTTAAATAGTAACTGTAACTATAGTAATATAAATAATAATATTTATTCCAATAATATTAATAATTTATTCTAGTTACTTTCAGTTACAACGCTCAAACTCATGTTGTTGCGTAAAGCTAGGTCTTAATAATAAATAAAAACAAACTGACCTATAGCGAACTCATCGGCGAATGTCAGGAAATGCAAGATATTGTTTCTGATGTGGTAATCCTTGAGATGGTTCATTAGATGCGTGCCGTAGCCTTTAACTTGTTCGTTAGACGTCACAGCGCAGAAGACAATTTCGCTGAAGCCCTGGAAGTGAATCAAGCTTAAGATCCCTCATAAAATATGTGATCCCAGCATATGTTAACTTTGTAATGTTAATTGCTAGTTAAGTTGTAGATTTGGAAGCACAGTTTGACGTTTAATTAGAGAGTAACGAGCTATATCTATAGCTAAGTTAGTAAGTAACTCTAAGCTAGTAATTATAAAGGCTCTGCACACACCACAGCAGCCACACAGAATCCCAGAGAAAAAATTAATCCTGGCATATATTAATGATTTCTTATATTTACGCGAACACTACACGTTAATTAAAACTACTTTAACGTATTTTATCGCATTTAATTTAAATTATTTTTAATTCCCGACGCTTCGGGTGCTTTCCAGTCCCCCGTAACCATGGGTACGTCACTTATCTATAACCGCGTATTGATTCCTAGGAGGATGAAGAATAGTGACTTTTTTATTTATTTTATTTAGTCTAAGTATACATTTGAACAATAATAAATGTAATTATTGAATAGTTTCCTTTTTATTTTCCATTCTTTACTTTTTCATAATATACACATCGACATGACAGTGGTGCGTCATTATGCCTGCCGTAAGGCTCGTATGAGCGACAGAGAGCGCAACAGGTGACGTCCTGTTTCCCCATTTTATTGCACTGCAGGCAGCGAGTGCTTAACATTAGTATAGTTATTATTTAATACATACTATTCATTAAAAACAAATAAGTACAGTTTGTTAACTACTGCAATCAGTTTGTAGGGAAGGTTAGTATAGATTCCATAGAAAAATTACCTGTGAATGGAATGTCCTGAAGCAAATCCCACCAATGGGTCTCCCTTCTTTGATAAGAGCCAATGTTTTATGCTTTCTGAAAAAAAAAAAAACAAAGTAAAAAAGATAAAACATCTTTGTTCGACATTTAATCGATATAACATTGATCAAAATACTTACGGATCGAAAACCAATTGTGATATATACTCTTTGGTCATCTCGGGCAGCTGATGAGAGAACACGTTATGAAGACCTAAAATAAACAAGATTTAGAAACAAACTTAAAAGGTAATATTGATAAGGGTTCCGTCCTCCCTTTTGTGCAAGCTTTCTTATTGCATATTATTGGTTAGCTTGATATGGGCCTCCCCAACTTGGGGAAAAATTGCAATAATCGCCATGCTTGGTAGGCGAATTAGCGATCAAGAATCTGTCCCTCATCGTCTGAGTATTAACATCTGGCATACGAGTTAGTAAATTGCCATCTATGGGAGGCAATGAGGTCCACTGGAACTGTTCCATCGTCATTTCTTACTCCATGGGACGAAATAAAAGTAAAAATTTTATAAGCGACAGTAGTCTAATGGCAGTGTGCGGATCGCGAACTCAGAAGGTGGTGGGTTCGAATTCGCCTTTCGACAACTGCCGTTAACCACTCCTAACACAAGCATTTTCAGCTTACCAGTAGTGGGAATATTAAAGGGAATATTTTTAATGTTAATAGCGGTTATAAAAAAAGTAAAGTTACGCTATCAAAGTGCGTGTTGGCGGAGTTCACGTTTTCAAAATATTATTTTAAATTTTTCATAGGTTTCCTCGCGATGTTTTACTTCACCGCGGAGCACGTGGTAAATCGGTATTTAAAATTACAATTAATATTTTTTTGAACCCGAATTGCTCGCGTGCTTTGAAATTTACAGCGAGCACTTAGTTGTGGATTCTTTTACGCCCCCACCACAAATCAAGTAATGAGATTAAAAGGTATTTAGTAATCCCCTGCCGAACATAGGCCTCCCCCATAGATTGCCTCAAAGGGAGATTATTGCCATAGCTGCCACAGGCAACCAGTTTTTATTAATTTGGGTCGTTACCAAGAAGATGCTTCTTCCCAGATGGGCATTCTATCCATTCCCCTCTGTCGCCTGCTACGACACATAAGGTATTAATATGTAGTGAGTTCTCTTACATCGCCACTACGGCGGTAATGGTAGGATTTAGTAAAGAAAAGGGGACAAGAAATTAACTAGTAGTATGCGTCATCTATTTTATACAGCATCTCATTCCTACAACCGCGTACTCTTATAAAATTTCTGTTCTAGTAATAATATACTACTAATAATAATAACTAGGAATAATATACTACTGTCAATAATACGACACGTATTTCGCCACTAAAACGAGGCAATATCGGGAGAAACCATAGAATACTATAATACATAATAGAACGGGAGTGTGGGCGGAGCCCGTGTAGCCACTAAAATGCCACAAGACGTCAATTCACATGTATAATTGTCAACACGAGATGTGTTTTGACGTTACAATCGTTTCCAAATTTCGCATGCAAATTATTTAGTAAATGCCAAATTGCACGCTATTTACAAATAAATATGTATTAAAATCCGTCTGTCAACACAGCGAATCGGGTTTAAAGTAGTGATTAACAGATAATACGACTAATTACTTGCATGTGTGCTCCCGGCGACGCCGAACCTCGGTACAAAATAAGGTTGACAGCCATTCTATTGTGTATTATAGTATTCTATGGGAGAAACAGACTCGGCGTTTAAGTATTCGCTAAGTAAATGGGTGAGTCTATTTTCTGTTATGTTAGTGCTGATAGCCAGTTGGCTTTCATAGTTTCATCGGACACAGGGATTTTTTCCGGATTATGTACGCCCGTCAAATTTCCAGTACGGTGTTCATCTATCTTCCTAATCAGTTTAGGTGAGTGGGATCAGGCTTTGATGGATTAACTCGTTTAGTTGTAGCATGAATGGACTCGACCGGGGAAGGACTGTTAACTCACAGAGGCGGCGGAAACAGCAGCTTAAGGGCCGATTCTCATTATAATGCCGTTCACAGTTCGTTCTCGGTCCGATCTCGGTCTGATAAAATATTATCAAGTAAAAAATATCTTTGTGCATTCATACTATCCGTAACAGTCAAGTTTCGCTGGAATCCCATTCCATTATAAAAAATCCGACTGAGATCGGACCAAGAACGAACTTTGAATGGCAAATGAGGATCGGCCCTAATACTTCTGTCTTCCGTACAATGAGTGTTGTCAGTTTTCACTGACAACGCATCTGCATTTTGATTCTTAATCCAGGATAGACGGTATCGTCTATTAGCTACAGTATCTACATACCATAAGATGGACTGTGTGCTCATTGGTCAGCCTTCTATTTAAAACAAATACTAATAGTTTTGTTGTAGCAATGCTCCTTTAGGCATTCATTTTAATAAAATGTATTAAATAAATGGGTAGCGGTATTATTAATTTGCTGATTAACGGTCTTACTCATGAAAATCGAACTCTACGTCAATTTAAGAAATGCTTCGTTTGTTTCTCTATTTACTACATGGCAATAGAAAGAGACAGGTATAAATATAATTAATACTTACTTGAATTAAGCGATAGCCAACGATTATGAGTAAAGCTGCATTCATTAAACAACCCGATTCGAAACGTAATATAATATAAAATAAAATACATTTTATATATTCCACAGTTTAATGATATTGAGTTAAAAGATTATTGTAAATAATGCAATTTGCTATAAGTCCAAGATGGTATATATAGGGTGGAGGGTTGGTCGCTCCCCGGGCTGAACACCTTGCCCAACAGGAGATATTCCCCTTTCCTTTCATAGGCAAACTGCCAATTTCATAACAATAATAAATTTATTAGACTTTGTATCATTGTTTTACCTATAAGCCACAACATGGTCTGCTTGTTAACGGGTCCAGTGAGCGAGTTGCCTATGACATGGAACTCTATCATCTTGCGTTGCTCCTCCAACTTAGCAGCTTCATCTCGTGGGGCTTGCATTTGGAAGAGGGCCTTTAAATGTTGCAAAACGTAATTTTTATTTAACACATTTAAAAATATCTTCAGGGATTCTATTTTGCTAACGTTGTGCAAGCGATATATATAAATTGCATATTGATAGACATCCAGATACTTAACAACTATTTTGAAGCTATACAAACACTTATCCCTCGCGGGAACAGAACCCGCAATCCGCAATCAGATAACGCCTAGTAAAGGCGCTGCCGAAATACTCAATTCATTTTATCTTATTTGACAATACTTTTTAATAATTCTTTCCATTAACGGAAGAGACTTTTATCTAGTAGTAGGTTTTAATGAGCCGTTTAAGTGAGCTCATAAAAGGACGTAAGCGACGCGTTTTCACGTAATGTAGATCATTGAACATTTTAGTTCGTAAAGTGACAGCGTAAGAAAATCCATCAACCCATTTCGTCTCTCAGCTGTTGTAAGAAACTATGGCCAAATGATTAAAAAAAATTCATGACTTTTGATAGATGATATCCATCTTGTTCACTTCAGATACAAAAAAGACCGGTGACGGGAGCAAAATCAAAGTGGGAGACGATTAATCATGAACCGGCATGCCAGGTGTGTCGAGTTTTTAGTCTTTTCAAAAGAATATATATATATTCAAACTAATCCAATTAAGGTTAGCTTTAACAGTCGTCGAATGGCAGATTCGAGCGAAGTTTAAAGCATGGAGGTTAGAGAACAGGAGAACGATCGCCGTAGAAAATAATGTCCCAGAAATATGGACACCATAAGTGAGGCGCTGCGATCGCTAAATTCGCTCAATAAGTCATTTTCAGTCTATTTTTTCGATCAGATGCTAAACCACTTGCACATCCACGCACAATAAAATATATCTCCATTTTATAATGTTTCTTTTTATCAAAAATTTAATTAATAAAAATTTTCTTACCAATGCCGCGAAAAAAATTTGTACATTATTCAACTAACTTCATCTACTTATGGTTTAAGACATTTATTTTCTCAAAAGACATTTATTTTTACAAATCACTAACTACTTGTACTATCAATCTACTTGTACTTATAAACAGCTAACTTCGCAGTTACTACTCACCGACGGCAGCGCCGCTATACATTCTACAATTTTCAAGGACAGGCGGGCTATGCTTTATTTAGTACGTAGCGATCGTTCTCCTGTTCTCTAACCTCCATGGTTTAAAGATTGTATTCATTACAGGAATCATAAGTCGCTTGTTACGCCAAATCTACGATGGAAGAATGCCCACGTTCAAGTCGACCGCCTATGGGTCGATGGCTGGCGACGATGACTTGACTTCGACGGTCCGCGTTATCACGTAATCAGTTCATTCGTACACTTACATCGGGCCCGCACATGTAGTTGGGGTCGGTGATGGTGGCGACTATCTCTGCGACGGTGCGCTCGCTGACGTCATCACAGTCGTCGGCGAGACGACGTCGCTTCGCACCACCGACGGGTGTTTCTCCCGAACGCGATTCCGCACCACGCTTTAAGCCTTCCTGTTTTATTGAACCTGGACAGGAAAAAATAGATAAGTCATAAATAGAATACAATCGACATATAAAATCCTAATTAACTAAAATAATTTATTTATACAAATGTTAAATTAAGGGTACATAGAGCGCGCTTAATGCCATGTGGCATTTTCTGCCACATTATTTTTCTTTGAAACATATTTTAAAGTGAACATTCTTATTTTTCGATGACATGTGTTGAAGAATTTGGACAGTAAGAAATTAAAACAAATGAAGGAGAGTCTCTACGTGTATTTACTAGTCTTAAAACATACATACTAAACGTCCTATACTTTGTGCATTTTATTATCGAGACGTAATCGACAAGCAAGGTTAAGAGCGTATTTAAAAAAATAACCACTTTTAACGTACGTGTCGTCAACGCATACTGTTCACTATAGAATTTACCGTTACGACTTTTTATAGAATAGTATTGTAATATAAACCTAGCATTTTGCCATAGTTGCCAGGATTGGTACGCGACGTGGACAGCAAAGCTAAAGGCTCTGGGGTGAGAACTAGAGGGATAATATAAACAAAATTGCAGTGATGAGGATGTGAAAAAAAGGGCTAATGTCATCGTTTTATAAGGCATCGTCTGGAGAAATAAGACTCTGCGGTGGCTAATAACCAAGCCTGGTTTAGATGCGAAAAACATTGTGCGTGATTCTTAATTCAGTGGTTATTGAGTGGAATAGTGCACGCAATTGTTAAAGGTAGAAAATTGCTCTTTAAATTAAAATATAGAGTTCTTCAAATTAGGAAATAATACGTACACGCCATTAAATTTTTTACGGGGCTCTTAACCCCTCAACCCTCTAAAAATTCTCATGCAGTCGCATGCGCCCGGCAAATGCCGAGCGGTCGCATGCGACGGTACCCACCCGCAGCACTTAAAACCATTGAAACTTATATTTGGAGACTACTTTTCTATGAAGAAGTTTGGCATGACAAAATTCTCTATATAAAAGTCAAGTTTTAGTTCATTACAAAAAGACTATTAAATTTTGATAAAAACAAAACATACCAAGCAAATGTCGGCAGCGTGAAAATCACAATTATTTCAATATATTACTCGAAATTATTTACGTAATAAATCTTTTATAAAAACACTATACTAAAACAATAATAAAACACTAGAAAAATCCAAAAAAATCAACACAGTAACATTCACGCGAAAATCGCGTACGAAATGAACGTAGATAATAAATATCCATAGCATTACTATTTTTTATTGCACTAGAGGATATAAAATTTCATATTCATTCTATAATGCCAAACTTCTTTATAGAAAAGTAGTCTCTAAATATAAGTTATAATGGTTTAAAGTGCTATGGGTGTGCACGGTCGAATTCGACTGCTTGAATTTTGACGGAATAGCGTCGCGGTCGAATTCGACCGCTTAGAGATTGATGGGTTAGCTAATTAATTTCCATTATTTTAGTTTCCGCAAAGTAAAGTCTGATTTTATTAATCAAAATTCCAATAACGAAAAACCAGCACCTGATGACAGTGAAACCGTAGTAAATCCGTCTTTACTTTCACCAGACGCTGTGACTCGTTCGAACTCCCCACCGCGACGTCCGGCTAAAATGGAAATGTTTTGAATTCAAACAAATTTTACTACATAATATGTAAAAGTAAAGTAAATTTACAGCCACTACTAGTCTCTCACTACTAGTGAGAGTCACTCTCACTTCTGAAAGGGTTTTAGAGCAAGGAAATTTCCATCGCGCTGCCATAGGGGCAGTATAACAATTTCTCTAGTAAAGTTACGCTGTCCCATTTCGCGTTGGCGGACTTCACTAGTCTTTAAAATATTTCCTTACAATGTTTTCCTTCACCGCCGAACGTGTTAATCAGCATATAACATCGCAATTGACAATTTGCTTGGTGCCAGTGGGTATCGAACAGACTTTGTGTACTGTGAAATTTACAGCGAGCGATTAGCACCTAAGCTACCACTCTTAGACACATTACATAATATGTACACAACAACGATCGCATTAAAAAATCCCAATAGCTAATTAATAGTCCCAGGGACCAAAAAGGCTCTCAGTCTCATGTTTTATAGCAAATATGGGACAAGAAGATAAGTAAATTATCAGCGTCAATGGTTCGAGAAGTCTAGTACTGCGATAAGCCAAGCTATAATGGGAGAAGTTCATGTCAAGCAGTGGAGCTTTGGGGACTGATGTAGAATACTTTTTAATAATGTAAACAAAACAAGTAACATTACAATATTATGATATTGCACTTACTGTTTTTATTTTCGAGTATTGCCTGCAGATGGTTAGGAGGAACTTGTTTGTAGTCTGGATCCCATATTGGAGAGTTGACGCTAAATATTTCTTCTTCAAGCAAGGCCAGGAATCGAGGGAAGTGCGTGAGGACCAGTACCTGTATAATAATATGGTATTTGTTATTTAATTTGGTATTTTAAATACATTTTTATTAACGGCTTTAAAGAACTGCTTGTTCTAAGTTGTATAGATAAAAGAAAACTAGAACTTAATTACATATTATGTAACAAAATGTTTAAAAAGTCCATCCAAATTAAAATAACTGAAAATTTGATGTCTTGTTTGAAGTTTTTGAAATCTATTTTGGTTAAATAAATTAAGGGAAAATATTTTGAGATGAGAATATGTCAAGTAAGCATATAAAGAAAGATTGCATTGTAAATTAGTTATAAAAATATTTAGTCTAAATATTTATTTGTCTATGTATTTACAAAATAAAAAAGCCAAGATTTTTTAAAACTACTTATGAAAAGATTGAATAAAAAAACTTACTCAAATACTATCATGAGATGTCCAAACCAATTTAAGCCCGTAAGACATTCACCAGCTTTAATAAAACCAAACAAAACTGACCCTTTTCTCCGGCGGCATACGGTCGCGTTCCGAGTGGCATTTGTCCATGAGTTGACGACAGACAGACTTGAAAACTGCGCGCAGTAACGTCCGTCCGAAAACAAGCGACGTTTCAAAATGCGGCAAAGAATCACAGAACGCCGGAACGTGGCAGAAAACTAACCATCTGAAAAATTATTGAGATTTCACTTTAATTTTGTCGTTGATTTGATTTATCTAGAGATGTGAAATCAGCCCGTAAATTTATTGATATGAAATGAATCGCCAATTCAACACACATTTTGCCAATCGACATATTAGACAACGTAGTAGATGCACACTGCAGCTAAATGTGGGTCGGCTTGACCGGGGTAGGACCACGCTCTCACAGAATACCAGCATAAAGTTACTAGTTTATGCTGGTATTCTGTGAGTGCGTCGGGTAAGCTTAATGCTGCGGTGTTTCGTATGGTGAGTGTAGCGAACCAGAGACCCCTTTTTACTGGAAACGAGGCATTCCATCTTAGTACTCAAGGATAACAACGCATCTGCATTTCGATTCTTAATCGATTGAGATCTATATGTAGGCCACATCATCCACTTACCCTCAGGTGGACTGTGTGCTCATTAGTCACCCTTATTATATAAAAAAAAGAAAACTTAAAAGTCAAAACTTTAGTTGCATCCCAAAACTGCTCTATACAGTTGTCGCGTGCGACACCGAAGTGCACGGTAGTATGTAGATCAATTTGTCAAACATTATCCCTTTACATAATATGATCAGTGCAATTCACAGACTGCTCTATCTGCACCATTGAATTGCACTGAAGGGGCTTAGTGTGGCTGATCATTTCCTGGTTGTGGCACTAAAGGCTGCTAGTACAATTTCAGCTTGAATGTGCATAGTACATAGATAGAATATCTACGTGCATTTTAAAACTTTAGAGAAATCTTGAGTATGGGGAGAAATTTTAACTAAAACGAAGGACCTGTATTATAAAGAGAATCAAACTTAATTTTATTTAATTAAAAAATTATTGAAGGGATAATAGAATAAATGAAATGATAAAATTACCTGGTGTAGTTTACTTGGTATGCTGATATATCCTCTGGATTCGATACTTGCTGAAAATATAATATCAGTTGAGAGCTATAAACAATATGTAACAGTGGTGTAACACAGTAATATATTAACATCCTGAAAGTACTTGTACCAAATTACATTTATGCATTTTTTAAAAATAGAATAAGGGTGTCAAACAAGCACACAGTACACCTGAAAGGTAAGTGGTTGCTGGGGCCCATTGACATCCATATGTGTCCTCGATTATGAATCAAAATGCAGATGCGTTGTCATCCCTGAGAGCTAAGATGGAATGCCTCGTTTCCAGTAAAAAGGGTCTCCAGTTCTCTACACACTCACTATACGAAACACCGCAGCATAAAGTTGCTATTTTACGCTGGTATTCTGTGAGACTATAGTACTACCCTGGTCGAGCCAATCAATTCGTACAACATCTTTAATATAGCTGCAGTGTGGCTCTACCACGTAAATTTATAATATTTATATTTAAAAAAAAAAAACATTGCTACTCTCACTTTTATGAACTTTATGGTTGGCCCACTGCCCACCCAACTTCAGGTGGCTGGTTCATTAAGCTATGCCAGTTACTCTTTTTCAATTGAGAATATATTAGTTATGGATTGTATTGTGTAGCTCACTTCACATAGATCACTGACAAGATTTTTAGCTACCCCTTATCTCGTATGGACAGTCAAGGATCGTAAATTAAGGATTAAAAATAAATAACTGAATTTGCAAACAATTTTTTGTCTGTCAATCAATATAAATAAACCAAAACTGAACCCCATATCAAAACTTCATATTGTTCAGTGGGTGTCTTATGAAGCGACAGAGGGAAATCCTGAAGCATTTTCCTAATTGCAAGGTAAAGTGTAAAAATGGCAAATATCCGCCGAGGCAGTTTCTGAGAAGTCCTTTGCCCTGCAAGGGACTCTGATGAATGAACTAAAGAAACAAAAACCGAGCTTTACTGATCTCTACATAGTGTAAAACAAGGTCACTTCCCGCTGTCGGTAGATTAGATTTTTTAAACTACGAAACGGATTTTGAAAGAAGTTTGGAAATCCATTATAATAAATAATTTATTACTTTGCAACTTCCGCTAACTAATTACTGATGTGTCTTACTGGATGTACCATCGACGACTATACGACACGCCTCTACACGAGGCATCCTCAGATAATGTAGACTCTACGGCGACTGACCGCTAAGTTAGCGGCGAGCCGAAACAGCTGCTATTTATACACGCCGACACAACCACTCCCCACCAAAGTAGCGAGTGACTGCGCCGCGCGATAACAAACCTGTGACTAATTGTTATGATCAATATTTTTTGAATATTATTATTATTATTATTTTGTTTTTTTATATTGATATTATTATAGTTATTATTATTAATTTTAAAATTATTATTAATGATTAGCCTTAAAGATGTTTAACAAAGGTGAATTAGAAACATTTGTTTGTTCATTCAGCAGAGCATTGTTACCATTACTATTTTTTAAAATCTCCAACTGTTCCAGCACACACAGCCGCAGCCCCTTACTAAAAGTATGTAAGACTTCAAAGGACTGGTCGCTGGCTAGGTTGTGTCCAGTGTCCAAGAGATGTTTAGCAAAATGGAATTTATCAGGATTGAAATTTCTGTACGCGGCCAAATGCTCTTTATAGCGCGTCCCAAATTTTAAAAATTACGACCAGTCTGACCCACGTAAACGGCGTGGCATTCGTTACAAAAAAGTTTATAAACACCCGATTTTTGACTAATATTTAACTTATCTTTATTATTACAAATATTCCTAAGGGAATTATTTGTTTTGAATGCCACGGATTTTGGTACGGTTTTCACCAATAGACAGAATGATTCAAGATGAAGGTTTATATGTATAAAATAGGTTGTAGAGATACACAAAAAAAGTTACCCGTGAGAAGCCATTGCGGATGGCTAGTAGGTATTAATACGATTTCGTTTAAAATACAATAGTTTACTGATTAAAGAATACAGTGATTACGATATTTTACAAATTAAATTAAATCTTACCAATTTTCTAACACTAGGTGTTTCGAAGTTCCAATGGTTAAAACAATGCAGGAACATTTTGGCCAGATCATACATAGTCTGCCACTCTCTTTGCGGCAGCGTGTTAAATTTGTACAGTACAAAATTAGTTATTGCTTTTGCTATGGAGGGCCGTTCGAATGGCGGTTGACCCAGTGGACCTTCGATACGAGGGTGTGAACGTGTGAGGATACACTTCCGGAGCAACTGAAAAAATATATTTAATTTTCTTATTAGTATAATTGTATAGTAAAAATGTTTTTTTTTTATTTAAAGATTATCGAATATTAATAATCTTTAATAAGCTTTAGTAAGTAGTGGCAGTGTAAGAATATCCACAAACTCACATCGTCCAGTAGATGTCGAAGGAGTCGACAGAGAGAAACAAATCAGTGGATGGGCAGTAGAGTCTTGCTCATCATCATCATTACAGCCCTTCACAAGTCCACTGCTGAACATAGGCCTCCCCCAAGTAATGCTACAAAACACGGTCCTGAGCCGCCTGCATCCATCTACTTCCTGCATGTCTTACCAGGTCGTCACTCCATCTAGTGGGGGGGGGGGGTCGCACTACACTACGCCTACCGGTACGAGGCTGCCACTCGAGAATCTTTCTTCCCCATCAGTTATCGGTTTTTAGTGCTATATGGCCGGCCCATTGCCACTTGAGCTTACTAATCCGTTGGGCTATGTCTGTCACTCTGGTTTTACTGTGGATATGCTCATTTCTGAGTCTATCACGCAGAGAAACTCCAAGCACAGCCCTCTCCATAGCTCGCTGAGCGACCTTGAGCGTCCTCATACGGCCAGCAGTGAAGGACCACGTCTCAGATCCGTAAGTCATCACTGGCAACATGCATTGGTTGTACAATCTAGTTTTCAGAGTTTGAGGTATACCTGACGAGAAGATGTGTCGTAATTTCCCGAACGCTGCCCAGCCGAGTTGAAGCGTCTTCCTACTAACGATTAAAATTAAAAGAACTGCGGTGTTCAACCCGCTTGCTAAGCATGACAATTACGGCTAATATCTCTCCTATGAAGTAATCTATTAGGCCTATGTTTAGCAGTGGACTTTAATAGACTGTAACAGTAATCTTAATAAACCATATTTGAATACAATTTTTGCCATCTTCATTTTCTGGCGATTTTGAGATGTTGTGTCAAGTATACCAGTTAATGTTTACGATACTGTGGATGAACATGCGGACTTTTGCTGAATAGATATTGTACAGCGGCATAGCTAGCCCTAATTGCGCCCCTCTAACAATATTTCTTAGGGAGTCTGCTACTGCAGCAGATAGAGACCTGCATTCAACTCCAGGTAAGAAAGGCTATAGGTACATTTCATGAAGACTAAGACGTATTGCCTCACTGTATACTTATACTGGCTATGCATCTGCTTAGCTGCAAAAATGGATGAAAGTATAGTGTTGGCAAGACATGCTTAGTGTACATCGCCAAAATTTCGCGTAAGTTGGCCTGAGGTCATTCAATATTTTTAAGTTAATTCTTAAATGCTTTTAAGTTAAGTAGTCTTACGGGTATTTTTTCAACAGTACCATAAAGAATTGTAAATATAAAAGAATAAAAGCAACAATGGAATACAAAAAAAAATACAATCTCAAAAACCCAGTAGCAAAATCTACTTTTTTATTTAAATAATACAAGTTTTTACGGATTTTATCGCGTATATTAACTTATTTTATATTCCCGACGTTTCAAGCACTTTACAGCACCCTAGTCATGGGGGGACTGAGGTGTTGGATGTCCCACTGTCATAGCTAAACCATGGTTACCTCCGGATTAAAATTATTAATTTTTGTTCTGATCTATGCAGTACGAACTTATAGTATCTTGAAGTCTCTCAGCTGGGTTTGACATTTAATCCTATTAATATAATAAAAAAAACCAACATCAAATATTATTATATATATATAACTGCAAGATACTATAAGTTCATACTGTGTAGATCAGAACAAAAATTAGTAATTTTAATCTGGAGGTAGCCATGATTAAACCATGACACTGGGACCCCCCCTACACCTCAGTCCCACCTGTGACTACGGGTGCTGTAAAGTGTTCGAAATGTAGGGAATATAAATGAAGTAGTGTTCTCGTAAATATATGAAATTATTACTTTTTTATTTCTTTTGTATTAGAAATTTCATAGAATTGTCTTTTAAAATACAGCACAACCACGAAATTTTTTATGTATTGTAATCTATATCTTTATATAAATTTAACAACAACTCTTCCAATTATTTGAAAATCAATTGTCATGCAATATCACCTAAATTGCTGCAACTGTATTATGCTAAAACAATACTAACCTTAAACAGATAGTAATAGACGCGTTTTGTATCATGATCATCCTCTCTATGCATTGACATGAAAATATTTTCAACATCCACCACAGCACCTAATAGGCGGTTCACTTCTGATACTGCCAAACCTTGCAACTGGGTTACATGTTTTTCTGCAGAATAATTATATAAAATGATGTAGGTAAGTTGTTATATTAAAATTTTTGAAAAATTGCATTCATGGTTATATTATTTAAAAATGTTATGACATTTTTACGTGGTAGAGCCACCCTGCAGCTATATTATAGTTGTAGCCTGAATGGGTCGGCTCGACCAGGGCAGGGCCACACTCTCACAGAATACCAGTGTAATGCTGCTGTTTCGTATGGTGAGTGTAGAGAACCGGAACTGGAGACTCTTTTCACTCGAATCGAAGCATTCCATCTTAGTTCTCAGGGGTGACAATGCATTTGCATTTTGATCCTTAATTGAGGATAAATGTGGATGTCTATGGGCCACAGCATCCACTTACTACCAGTTAGACCTTGTGCTCATTTGTCATTAATGCTATAAAAAAATATAGGACCTACGAATAATACCTGTCTAATACTATCAAACAGTAGTTCCATCCCAAACCTACGAGTGTTAAGTGTGACTTTTTTGATTTATACTGAAACAAATATCTAAGTTTTGTCTGTTTGAATTGCTATAATTTCTTTTTTCACTGACAATCAGTATAGGCAGAGAACAAAATAGGCATAGAATAATGGTCAGACTGGCTACCAAATCATGGTTCCTGCATTTGAACGTCAGCTAAAAACCATTATGTGTTAAAAACAAAAAAGTTTGGTATTTGATTCTGCTTGGGATATGATAGTTATTTGGTTCCAAGAAAGTTATATATTTCTACAGATCACATATGATTAAATCATATTTAAGCATGCCACGGAGCATGGTGCCTGTTCAGATCTGTAGTTTTATCAGCGTAGCTGACTACCCAATTGTACCAAACTTGACCCCCTTTTAACATTTATGTTTTGTGGGGTTTTTCTGTCCGAGTGCATTTGTTTAAAAGCTGGCCAATTTCGGTACAAAAGATGAACTGTCGGCTTCAGTAATAAGAGTGGACCTGAAAGGAAATAGTAGTATCTTAAAACGTTCATAGATAAAGATCATGCTAAATCCCAAAATTCTAAGTTCAAAACCTATAAGTGATGAATGATTTTTGATGAATATAGTAACAAAAAGTTTAATAAGTATACTCATGAAATTTTGGATATTAAGTGTTGTTCAAAGAGTTTTTATTTGACATGCAAACTTGTATTTAAATAGGTCTAATAGTTTGAGGGTGGCGAGTGCAGTGTTTTAATTATTATTGCATTCTCATAAGGAAGATGCTGCTGCCAATTTTTTGTTTTACTTTTCCTCTATCATTTCTTATTTATTGTTTTTTGTAGTGAATTTTGTTGATTAAATTGTAAATAATTTAGTTTAAGGGAAAATGATTTCTTAAATTTACGCGAACACTACACATTGAATAAAACTATTATTTACGGATTTTATTGCGTTTAATTCAACTTTAATTTATTTTTATTATCCCGACGTTTCGGGTGCTTTACAGTACCCGTGGTCACGGGGGGGGGACTGAGATGTTTGACGTCCCAATGTCATAGTTAGTACTAACTCTAAAGGAAAAGTTAGATACAAACCTAAAATGTGGTTACAATTGCGACAAGGGTCAGTGAAGTTTGCTAATGGCTGACTATCTGATCTTGCATTAACTTTAGAAGCTTGTTGTGGTACAGGGGTCTTCCATCCATTACAAGTACAATCAGGTGTCTAAAAGAAATAAAGGTTTATTTGATTTAATGTGTTTATATTAAGCACACTAAGATAAGAAGGAAACTATTGGTATTGTGAGAAAATCTGCATGTCTGAGAGATTAGAATTAGCTATGAGCCCTATAACGTATAAACAGTTATGGAAACGTTGATTTTCTTTATAGCATGCATATAGATATACAAAACTCTCATAACCGTCTTTTTCTTATAACATTTCTCAATGTTGCAACATTGTGTTTGCTTAAACGGACCAGATTGTGATGTTATTTTATTTATTATCACATCAGATTTTGGTTTTATGTAGACTTTTTTTTATTAGGTTATATCCATTTATATTATTTAATGAATTTTGTCCAAACCATCATCACATTCAAAATCTTGAATGGGTGTAAATTTGTAAAATATAGTAAATACTAAGCTAATAATTTCCATAGAAAAATAAATTATGTACACAAAATGAGCTCCCAAGTACACCTGATTAGGTCTGCAAGTGTTGGAGTAAAAACCAAGAAAAGTTAATTTCAGCAACTACATATACATATAGATCTTATCAGCTTATATCACAAAACGAAAATAGTTGCTGCTGTTATATGGAAAATTATGAAATATAGATAGTTATGATAACATTATCCGTTATACAATAACAATATTGTTACATTTATAAAAAATATAATGACCCACTGCTAATTAGAATATTATTATTCTTTGCCAAAATAAGGGCAGCCTACATATTATTATGTCACACTGTTGGGCCTTGTACATAATATGCATGCATATAACTAACATTTTTTGAGATAATCATAAAGATATCTTTGAATAGCAATTGAAAAGCTGGTTGAAATTTAGAATCGTTTGGCAGGAATTTGGGGGAGTAAGGTGTTTTATTTGGTAGAGGTTTGGTCCCCGATTATAATAATACCACTCCCATTAAAAGGTAATGCACCGTTCTTAAGAAAAATCAAAAAGAAAATCCCATAGAACTAACCTCAAAATCATAACTCAAAATGAATTAAGGGGATGGGAGGTGGTGGAGAGGGAGGCGGGGGTGTTGTAGAGTCGCCCCACACTTCCACATCCTGCCGGACATGCTTATTTTTTTAATAAATTTTTAAAAATCTAATTTTGAGGTTATGTTTTTGTAATATTTTTGACTATAATCCTGATTAATGGAGGGAGAGAGTTGGAGGAGGGAAGCAACACGTAGTGCATTCGAGGGAAGGACAGTCGACGGAGCCCCGCTTCGCGGGGCTCCTACTTCTGAGTGGTTTACAAACAAATAACCACCACGCCATTCCCTTCTAACCTAATCTGTCCGAATCGGGGTGCCCTAAGTCCCGCTCGCTTCGCTTGCTCTTGTACTCAACAAAACACCAAAATATTAGCTTTCATAATTAATTTAAATTATAAACAATATATAATACAATAATAACCATACTATATCACACATGTGCCTGCGAGTTGCTACGACGGGCAGAGGCTGCTCTCCCTCTGCACCTACGGCTTTACAAAAACACTTTAGGAGTAGGGCAGACAAGTCTACCTGGATTCGGGGCATGCTAATTTAATTTTTAGTACAGATTCGATCAGATCAGATATCTATAGTCAAGTTGCCTTTGCTCCCGCCACAGACACAAAATTCTGTTTGCTATCCATCTTTCACAGTAATTTCGCATAATTTTTTCTCAGAAAGTCTAGAACCCAGAGCCGTAAATACAGTTAATAATAAAAAATGTATCACTTTTCATACTCTAGTATATAGTCAGTATGTTATATATTATGTGATATATGTTTCATACTTAACGTGTTAAGGTTATAACAGTTTTTATTTATTTTTTCGATAACTGTGCATTACCTTTTAATGTGAGTGGTATTATTATAATCGGACCAAACCTCTACCAAATAAAACACCTTACTCCCCCAAATTCCTGCCAAAGTTATGATTTTGAGGTTAGTTCTATGGGATATTCTTTTTGATTTTTCTCAAGAATGGTGCATTACCTTTTAATGGGAGTGGTATTATTATAATCGGGGACAAAACCTCTACCTTAAAAAACACCTTACTCCCCCAAATTCCTGCCAAACGATTCTAAATCCAACCCGAAAAGCTTATCAAGAAATAGCTCAAATCACCATCAGCAATATAAATTACTTACCTGACAAGCAGAATATATTGCCAATTTAAGTAGCTTCTTGTTATGTGGCCAGTTATAAACTTGCTGCTTCCTTTGTTGAATGCGCTGTAAGTTGGACTGCCTTGAAGCCTGTCCTTCACTAGCCGACGGTGTAGCAGCATTACTAGATGCCGCATCATCAGGTGTTGCACTTGATGTAGCTTAAAATATAGGAGTTATTTCATATTATAGTTTACAGTCCACAAAATTGTGGAATCACTTAAAGAGTAGAAAAATAATTTACTTAAAATCTTTAATAATAAATACCTAAGTAATACAAAATATACGAAAACAATTAAAACTTGTGTTTATTTATTTACCTTCATGTGCGTGTGTTTGCGAAGAGTCCGCCTCTGTATTGGTCATTCCTATGTCACCTATGTCGTTTGTCATTTGAGACGTCATACTGATTAGTCCACGACAATTAAACTTTTAACCTGATAAATCTATCGACCAACTTAGGTAATCAACAGCATTTAACAATTAACGAAAACTAACCATCTTTATTACAATTTAAATTAAAAAAAAAACTAGTAATTTTATGAGCTATGTCAAAATTTACTACTGTCAATTTTTAAACAAAATGGTGGTCAGTGTTGCTGCTTGCTGTTGCCATTTGCACTTGCTAGAGCCAAATTTTCAATTACCGTGTTTGTTAGTCAGTTTGACCAGTAATGTTAAATTATTTATTAAATTTGATTGTGTTTTTCAAAATGTGGTCAAGTGACGCAAGCGATGATGAAAATATTAGAATAATGGAACCAAGAACATAATATAGAACAAGAATTGACTACGGTCATCTGGAGATGACCTATGAATTTAATGAAAGGTTTCGACATAAAGCTTGAAAAATTGGAACAATTAATTAACATTTAGGGTTGCAATTTAGAAAGAAATACAAACATAAGCCATGCCCTGTTAACTAAATTAATATTACAAATAGCTCTACATTGTTTGGGAACCGGAATTCAATACCATGCTATTTCTGACATTCACGGTGTAATAAAGGCAGTGTATGCAATGCTGTCCACAGTGTTGTAAGAGCTGTAGAATGCTCGATAACACCGACACTAAGGTATAGTTCACTTAATCACTCCGTTAGTTCAGACACACTGAATACGTCCGCTCGCCACGGCCGTTGACTGTCTAATGACATCCCCCATAGATCACTGAATATATACTAGGCAATCGAATAACCCCCACTACCAGTATACTACATCCCTTTCTTGTTAAAATAAAACAAATGTTAACATTACCTTGACAAGAGTTTTAATCAGATTTAAACATTAATTAAATTGATGATTTGTACACATAATAGAAATTATTCTCCGTGTCGGTTGCCTTCTGGATCTGTTTCACTTTCTGCACTCTGATTAATAATTTTCCACTCACAGTTTTCTCTTCTTTTAAGGTGGACAACATTCCTGCGATATTCTTTTCCTGTTGAATCATTCCTTACTCTAATATCCCCACCGTTTACATCTGTTACTGTACGAGTCTCTGGGTTAAAATTATGAGTTAATTTGTTTTCTTTAGTCATATTTTTTACACATACCTTTTCTCCGATTTCAAAATAACTATTTACTGCTTTCCTCTTCCTATCCGCATATTCCTTTCCTTTTTCCTTTTTTTTTTCTTTATCCCTGTCTCTGACATCCAAATCTATAATTTTATGTTCAATGTCTGCGTTTTTTTTAGAAAGAAAAGTTCTGCGGGAGTTTTTCCGGTAGTCGTGTGAGGGGTGCTATTGTACATAATGAGATATTCTAAAAGGTCATCTTTCCACTCTTTTTTTTCTAATTGGCTAATTTTGAGCCGCTTAAGCACATCTCTATTTTGGCGCTCTACTTCGCCGTTCATCTGTGGCCAATAAAGAATTGTGTTGTACATTACAATGCCGCACTCTTTGCAGAATGCTCTGAAGTTCTCGCTAGTAAACTGGTTACCATTATCACATGTTAATGCTGAAGGGTATCCCAGTCGGGAAAATATTTCTTTGAGTATCTTAATAGTTTCTATAGCCGTAATATTCCTCATTATTTTTACCTCATTGTAGCGACTGTAGTAATCGACTAGGACAAGTAAATAATCATTTGATGGTATGGGTCCTAACAAGTCTATTGCCACGTCAATCCAAGGCTCTACTGGAAGTTCTAGTCTCTTTGTTGGATGGGGCGGGTTGGGTGCTGAAACGAGTGTGCACCCTTTGCAAGCTTTGACTCTATTTTCAGCATCTCTATCAATTTTTTGGCCAACAAACCTTGGTTCTGAGGCAAGTTTTCATGGCAACAATGCCAGGATGTCCTAGATAGGCAGCCTCGAGTACTCGCTCACGCAGCTGTTTGGGAACAATAAGTTTATTTCCTCTTAGGGCTATGTTTTCGTGGAAACAAATCTCCGACTGGAAAACCTTATAAGAATTTACACATTCATGCCACTTGTCAAATATTCCATTTTTGTATGATTACACCGCCAACTTTGCAACCAATAACTTCATCGTCATCTAATTGGAAAACTTAGTCCACTTCGTCAGCATTTTCCTTTGTTTGTTTATTAAATTTCTGTCTCTTTGCGTTAACCCTATCGTTATTCCTTGAGTTAATATTCCGTTTATGTTTTTTGGTCCTGCAATATTTCTTAGAATGTCCAACAATTCCACATTTCAAAAATTTTTTGTCCCTTGCTGGGCAATCACTATCGAACGATAAGTGGTTACCTACCGCAACTGAAGCAATTCTTAAACGAGTTCAGAGTCGATGGTAATTTCTTGTCATACAGTCTGTTAATATCGGATTTGTTTGAGTCGTAACTTTTAATTGAACTCGATCTATCAAACGCATAGAGTTGTCTATTCAATGTTTCTAGTGTAGTAGCAATAGTTATTACTTGCTGAAGAGTTATACTATCTCCACCAACCAAGATTTTTCTTCTTAATTCTGCGCTTGGACCTTTTTCGACAATTTGATCGATTAAATTTTCATCCTTAGCAGTGAATTGGCATTTTTCAGCTTGGTTTCTCAAGCTTACCAAAAATGTTTCAAATCCCTTCTTCTTGTTTCATCAGTCTAAAAATGTATCTTTCGTAATATCTGCTCTACTTCGGGGAAAAATAATCGCTTAATTTCTTAACAGCAACTTCATATACGTCCACATTATCAGCCTCATCAATGTGAGCCCCTGGTAAGTTGTAGTACACTTCTTGCAGAGCGAGTCCACCAATGTGGAAGAGTGTAGCTCGCTTTTTTCCACCAGATTCAATATTGGCAGCTAAGAAGTATATTTCTAGGGCTCTTTTCCACTTTTCCCATCTCACTCCAACTGAAACCGGATCGCATACACACTCAAAATGGTTAAGACCCGGAAACGCTGATGATATCTAAGCCATTTTTGGTGATCTGTAACAATCGTGTTACCAATTAAAATATATTAACAACTAGACCCAAGATCAGAGAACCAAAATTGTCGAACATTATTACTTTTCTCATATTAACCACTGTTAATATCTATTTTGTACGGGCTAGTATATATTATTAACTATTCCAACCAGCAAGGTCTTTTATATTAACGCTTCAACTAAGTACTGTCCTTCTCATTGATCTGTCAACTTAGTACGGTATTTCATATTGACCCTACAACTTAGTACGGTCTTTCATATTGACCCTTCAACTTAGTACGGTCTTTCATATTGACCCTTCAACCGATCTCTCATATTGACCCTTCGAATTAGTACGGTCTCCCATATTGACCCTTGACAGTATTACTTATCATAGCCTATCTTATTGAATTCCCCAAGCGTAATATCACGAACGTGAGGTTTTTAAAATACTACCCAACAACGTTTTCCCTTTTTTTTCTAATCTATTCGTATTAATTAAATTACTTGTTTTAATTAAAGCATATTATGTATATTTTGTATTTAAATATCCAACGTAATTACTTCACTTCTTATAATAATTAGAATACTGAAATTCAAACTGCCCACTTTCAAGTTTCAACAATATTATAAGAAAATTATTTTATCTTCTCAAACGTAATTATGCAGTTGTATAACAACAATAATAGGTGAGGAGTACTTTTACTGCCCTACTTTTATGCTCTTTCATTACTATTTTCTGAATAACAATTCTTATAATCCGTATTTTAAATTAATAAGCAATAATAAACTAGCAATTGTCTTACTGTAATGCGTGTACTGTGGGTACTCGCGTCTCGCTTTATTTCGCTACCTGGCTGGTGTAACTAAACCAACCAAAGGCTTATAATAACTAAAATATCAACTTAAAGTATCAACGTAACTCGTATATAATACTCAAAGGTTTCCTATTTCAAAATATTATTATACGTTTGCATTGGATTATGTAGGGTATGCTCTAAAAAATATAAAATCAGTATTTTTACACTTTCGTAATACTATATTTCCTTTTAACGAAATATGAATTTCACTTACGTTTATTCTCGTCGCCACTTGTAGAATGCTCGATAACACAGACACTAAGGTATAGTTCACTTAATCACTCAGTTAGTTCAGCCACACTGAATACGTGCGCTCGCCACGGCCGTTGACTGTCTAATGACCTCCCCCCATAGATAACTGAATATATACTAGACAATCGAATAACCCCCACTACCTGTATACTACAACCGCCATTAATACCGTAATGTTTAAAAACTACGTTAAATGGCCGAATAATATGCAGAAGGTAGTACAGAAGTTTCATATGTTGAAAGGAATGCCATTAATTTGGCTGTCTAGAAGGTAATGAAGAAGTATTCATAGATCGACACAGAAATCATTCCATTAACCTTTTGAGCGCCACGCCAAAAACGCATTACCGTGTCCTGTATGCCAAAGCGAAAAGTAAACAAAAATACCTACGATAAAAATATTGTTGCCAAGAGTTGATATATCGATAACACAAAATAACTTGATTTTGTTGGTTTTTATGCAATAAATGACTCTTTATAATCCGGTATGCTTTATTTAATCTTGTGCTGTCTTCCACTCTTCTTATATATTTACTTTGTACATAAATAAAAAACAAACAATAACAATAAAATAGTAGTAAACCACAGCACTACTCTTCATCGTGATTGACGTCACGTCACACGTGACGTCACTGTCATGACTATAACGGCGTAGCTGATCTTCCTTTTTGAAGCTTTCTTAGAGATGTAGCTTTGTCAAACTTTGTGTATCGATTTCGAAATCGATCTAACCAAAACGATCTAACCAAAATATTAAGAGATCGACTCAAAATATTTTATTGTGTCGGGGGAGGTGTAGGTCAAGCGAAGCACAGAAGAAAAGTCTTAAGGTCGTTGCATACGTAACGTGTTTTATCCCAGACGGGGCGAAACGTGAAAAGTTGGAAACATTGTTTCATAGAAAATGT